AGCTTATCGTTAACTGTTTTTATACATTTTTGATAGTTTTTGTTTACTGTGTTTTTTTACCGGTCCTAAATTTACTGCTTATATTTTTAAGACAGTCTAAATCACTAGCCATGAAAAATTCATGCAAGAGACCTGGTTGCCGTTTTGCCGTTACATCTGGCATGCAATGTGACAACTGTAAAGGTTGGTTCCATGAAGCATGTACAGATCTAACAGCAGCAGCCTATAGCAGACTCAGCAAGTCTGATCGTAGGTGGGTATGTGTTACCTGCAACACCGATACGGTAGTTATGTTGGGTACTATCATTACTTTACTGACAGGTCTGAGAGATAAGTTGTCTAAGAATTCGGTAAATGATATCATCATGACGGGTAACAAAGCTGGAACGCATAGGGCAAATAAGAAAAAGGATACTGACAGGTCGGTTATCGACGGTGCTGTTAACAGCACGAGTGATGATGTGTTGAAACTCAGCACCATCCTAACATCGACTGTCATCGACTCCCTCAGTAAACTTGGGTCCCCCGGGGAACGGTCCTTGAATGAGACAGTGGTTCCTAAGAATCCTGTAGGTGGATGGACTCACGTTAACAGGAGTAAAAAAGCCCAAGCGTCCCCTCCCAAACTGAACGTCCCAAGTATCGTGCGTAAATCAATTGATGCTTTGGCTGCACAGTCTACACCCAAGACTGTCCGCCCGGTCATCACTGAGCCCAGGAATCGAAAACGCGCCTCGACATCCAAACAACAAGATACCAAACCTAGACGCCCTGGAAAACCTGGGAAATCAATTGCGGTTCGTGACGACTCTGTCATAATCATGAACCTTATTGACAACCCCGACCTTCCTCTCAGTTTGCAGGACAAAAACGATAGGATGCTCTGGGGAAAATTAATCAAGAGGCTTGAACTCCCTAGAATAGAGCCTTTGACCGTCACACGGCTCACTCGGGGGAAGGACTCTAACCACCTAAACCACCCGAGGCTGCTTCGTGTTACACTTAAGAATGCCTCCGACGTAGAGGACGTCCTGCTAGCCAGTCACTTACTGAGGTCCGATGGGAACGTAAGAATACTGCCCGACATACCGTATTCTGAACGAAATCTCATCCGGAACATCCCTAAGGAATCTCGCGAGGCGTTCTTCCGTGGACGAAATATCATTGTGCAAGGTGTGCCGGAAAATATGGACCCAGCTCAAGCAAACTCTGATATTCGGGAATGGAAATTCATCAAGCATTCCTTAAAACTCAGGAACATATTGACCCAACAGGTAATGAGACTGGCCAAGAGAGACGGAGACTCTAGGCCCCGGCTGCTGAAGATAACCTTCCCCTCCTCCCACATGGCGGCTGCAACTCTGGAAGCATTTCGTGCCAATAGACGTCGGTTGCCAACTGGCATCCATATGCATCCGGATAGGCCCCACGACAGCAGGATCAAGCACAAACGAAAGCTGGGGCTGACAATTCCACTCGTGGACTGTCTTGATCATAAAAAAAACGTGTAAAGGACAGGGACTACCAACTCGGTAAACATCGTATAGGTAGGCTACCTGTCCACTCACACACGGCTCATATAGACAAACAAGAAGAGGCTCACGCGTTCCAAATTGAAAGCATAAACTGCCTCTACACGAACGCCGCGAGCTTGCCAAACAAAATGGATGAGCTACGTGAACTTAGCAACGCTAATGATGCCCATCTGATAGGAATATCCGAAACTTGGATAACGTCTCAGTTTACGGACCAAGAGTTAGCAACAACTGGGATGTCTTTATTTCGCAACGACAGAAAAACAGGAATGGGGGGTGGGGTAGCACTATACGTACGGTCATGCCTGGATGCGCACCAACTTCACAATCAAGAGTTTCACAATCTTGACGAGTCAGTATGGTGCTCAGTAAGATTATCTACCACCTCGAGGTGCCTAGTTGGGGTCGTTTACAGGAAGCCCACTGCCGACATCGAATATGACAAACGTCTGCTGGAAGGATTAACTCGCTCTACGCGTCTTGGATTCTCTCATATCCTCATTCTAGGGGATTTCAATCTCCCTAGAATCAACTTCGTGGAACATACATACATTGGAGGTGACAACTCTACTGAAGCTCTGTTCTTCAACCTTATCGGAGACCTGGGATTATTTGAAAATGTGAAGTCGGCAACCCGTTGGAGAAACAGTCAGACGCCGTCACGCTTAGACTGGGTATTCACAAACGAAGAATTCCTAGTTGATGACCTCTCAATCCTGGCTCCCCTGGGCAAAAGTGATCACGCCGTCTTATCATTCAGCTTTGTCAGCAAGACGGAGCTACGATATCCTACTACCAACAAGCGCTGGAACTTCAAACGGTTGAATGTGTTAGCTTTACAGGACTATCTTCAACAGGTGGATTGGGATGTTCGCCCTGAAATTGAAGTGGATGCTCATTGGGATTTTTTACTGCACACGATCTTATGTGCTACTGAGCATTCAGTTCCTAAAATGGTCCCAAAAAGCTACAAGCAACCTGCAATCATCAAGAACCGCACTCGTCGTTTGCTAAGCCGCAAAAGGCACTGTTGGGCTGAATATAAACGAACGGATAACAACGGCGCGTACAGGCAATACAAACATATAAGGAACACATGCACAAAGGCAATAAGAGAAGACAGGCTTCAGTTCCAGACCAAGCTTATCGATAGATTCGTCTCCAATCCGAAAAGCTTGTTCAGTTATGCAGCTTCTCTTCGACAAGGCAAAACTGGAGTTTCCCAACTGCTTGGTCCTAATGGCCCGACCAACAACGACAGTGATGCCGCTAACCTTTTGGCTGAACATTACTCCCGGACATTCCAACTGACCCACATCAACCATACTGACGAAAGCTTCACCTGCACCTGTACAGGACTTTCCGAAGTGGACCTGAGTGCTGACTTGGTGCTCCGTAAACTGCAAAACCTAAAAAAAGACACTTCTCCTGGTCCGGACATGGTTCATTCCGCCGTACTGAGGGAAGCAGCTTCAATCCTGGCGACACCACTTAGCGTGATGTTTGCACACTCGCTAAGCAGAGGCAAACTACCGGAAATATGGAAGCTGGCCCACATCACACCAATTTTCAAAGGAGGTGGACGCAGTGAACCCTCAAGCTACCGACCAGTGGCCCTTCTCTCCATACCTTCAAAAATTATGGAATCCCTAGTATTTGACGGCATACTAGAACACTTATCATCCTCAAAGTTCTTCTCGCCTCAACAGCATGGTTTCAGAAAAGGTCATTCTTGTACGACCAACCTGCTGACTGCGGTGGATAAATGGACAACCATCCTTGATCGCAAGGGGAAGGTTGATGTCATTTACCTGGACTTCTCAAAAGCTTTTGATAGGGTCAACCATGCATGTCTTATCAAGAAGCTTGGACGATTGGGTATAAAACCCCCTTTAATTGACTGGATCACTTCATACATAGAAAACCGACATTTTAAGGTCAGGGTTGACTTCACTCTCTCTCAGGCTATGGAATGTCCTAGTGGGGTCCCCCAGGGTTCAATACTAGGACCTCTTCTCTTCTTGATTTATATTAACGATCTTCCTCAACAAGTTTCATCTGATTTATTGCTTTTTGCTGATGATGTGAAACTTTGGAGAGAGATACGTGCTCACAATGATATACTAGTTCTGCAGGAGGATCTGACTCGACTTCAAAGTTGGGCAGATGACAACGGACTTACCTTCAACACTTCAAAGTGCAAGGTAGTCCATCTGAGACATGTTGCAGACTATAGTTATAACTTAGGTAACTCACCTCTAGAAGTTTCCCAAGTTGAAAAAGATTTAGGAGTGTTGGTACCCTACGACCTGAAATCGTATGCGAACTGTGACAAAAACGCCTCTCAAGCAAACCTTGCACTGGTAACATTGAAGCGCATTTTTGGCCAATTTGACGGTAGAACCTTCCATATAATCTTCAACAGCTTTATTCGTCCCCACTTAGAGTACGGAAACATAGTATTTCCTCCCTCCCTCCAAAAGGATAAGGTCACTCTGGAACGTATACAACGTCGAGCCACGAAATCAGTTCGGGGTCTCAAATTCAAACCTTATGAAGAGCGCCTCAAATCACTTAACCTTTACCCGTTAGAGTATAGGCGTCTTAGAGGTGATCTTCTTATGACTTATAGTATCCTTAATACTTCTGGTCATCCCCTTAAACAACTTCTTAAGCTTAGTCATAACACTAATCTCAGAGGTAACACCCAGAAATTGGAGACCCTACATAGCAGAACAGACTGCAGACACAACTTCTACTCCGTTAGAGTTGTCAAGTGCTGGAATTCGCTGCCGACTGAGCTAGTCCAAGCGACCTCCCAGGAGTCCTTTAAGAGAAAATTTGACTTATTCTTAAGGACTAAGGATAACATATTATTATGATTTACCAAATTCTTTTTTTCCCTCTATTATCGTTCATATACCTAGGTTCTTGCCTGGAGGTATTGGTGATCCACTGCTACCAGACACGGAAGCCCGTTAAGCGAAAGCTTCTTCTATTCCGTCCTCAACCATTTGAACCATTTTGGTGTTTGAAGATTTATGGAACAGTTTGACTGTGAAGGTCGCTGATGAACCTGATACTCAGAAGAGTTTTATCAATAAATCGTTATTTTCTTCGTTTACAGCATACTAAAAGCTAGTTTATTCTCCACAAAATATATTCCTAGATTTTATTAGGTGTCTTAAATTCCGAGAGTCTTGGTGATGTCGAAAATTATCCTGGTCACATCAAAACCACGTTCTCACAAAAATGTCTTCTGAGTCTTGGGAGTGGAATTGGGTGTCTGATTAACCCAAGAAGGGCTGGTAACGGAATCTTTAGTCTTCTGTCCTTCAGATCTCCTCAGCACATTCGGAGAAACTAGTGGAGAACTCGCTTTACGCAAAATATTCAATAGAAAGCTTAACCATCCTGATGGTTGTCGCATATTACGGTATACTTTGCTCCTTTATTGACTTTTAGTGACCGGCCAACTATTCGTACTAACACAGTTGATTTAGACAGCCTTCGTAAGCTACCTAAGGGTACGTTTGGAAAAGCGTATACGAAGTTTCTGGATAAATATGTAGGCTCTACAATTTCATTGACCATAGCCTTAGGGTTATTCACCTGATGAAAGACACTATGTTAGATTTGTAGATGACCCGGATTTGTCTTACGTCATGCTGCGGTATCGGGAAATACATGATTTGGTTCATACTTAGCTTGGTCAACCTACTGACATGCTTGGTGAAGTCGTTGTTAAATGGGTAGAAGGCATACAAACTCTTCTCCCTATGTGTTTAACTGGTGGTTACTTTGGTTCTCTGCGCCTCGCACCCAAGTTAGTGTTTACTATCAATAATACATAAATAAATTTCGCCACTTATTTGTATCAGTCAGGTTATTTCCCCGGGTACATGTTAAATGTACTTTTTCGTTGTTTCTTTCAGACAAACGGAGTGTTTTGTAAGAAGTCATCTAGAGTATGCCATTCGTACCGGTAGAGAAGCGCGTTTTCTAATGTGTGTTTACTTCGAAGAACATTGGGAAGACAATTTGGAAGATTTACGGTCATCTTTAAATATTCAGTCGCCTCCACCTCCCAGAAAACTGGATTGAGATGTGTTTTGAAGCACTTTAGATAGTTACTTTGTAAATAGTGTAGTTTTCTCTGTTTTCTGTCAACTAAAGTTTCACTACAAATGTCTTAGAATTTTTAATCAACTTGAAATATGTGTTTGTAGTTAGCTCTCTAGTAATTTGTGTTGTCGCAAGATAACATTGTGACAGTTGATTATTTAATTTAATCTCTCTTGTAGTTTTTGGCTGTTAAGATAGGTTTAATACAGTTTGAACTAGCTTTGACTGTATAAATGCTCTCAAAATCCATGATATCGCTATAGACTTCATGTTTGGTCACTAAATATTGTTTTCTTAAGATTTGTCGTTTTAACCATACAATTAAAGTCCAGCAGTTGCAACCTTTAATATCGAGCAACTTTCTGTGAGGTTAGTTTCTGAAGTAAATGGATGGTTTCACTTAACGATATTATATTAGTGTAATACAACCAATCGTAATAAGAAACTATCTTCTACATCTTCATTATGTATCCAGTGGTTTCATAACGACTTTCCATCGGTGTTCGAGAGTCGTACTATGTGGCTAAAAACATTTCATAAGCCGGTAACATCTGGTGAAACAATCCTGTTTAGCCAACATATAGAAATTCTTGTTGTGCCTTTTGCATCATATATATATAAGCGCTTATTTACTTGCATACATATCTAGTTCTGGGATAACTCACATGAGGCCATATTCACCGTTACTTAAACCGAATATTATTGAACCGTTAAAACATTCTGTGATAGCAATGCTTAAATTGGCAACTAAAACTTGTTAAATAAACCTTCCAGATGAAGAAATCCAATAAATACCCCCCCCAGAGCTACAATCCTTACCATACTATGAAGGAGTGTTCTTCCCTCTATCACATTTAATTTTGTGAGCTATCATCGTAGCCTCCATCAATACTCTGTATACTATTGTTCTGCCCTTGTAGAGAAGTCGGTAAATCTAAACTCTTGGTGTTAAACATATCTGTTGTTATATATTTATTGTTAATCTATTTTGGTTGCACCCAAATAGTGAGAAACTAATAAGTTGAGTCTTCTATATTATTGTAATACTTTTTTCATTATTTTAAGGATGAATGAAAGGAAACTGCATATGGCTTAGTAGCTCTCCTGATTATTCAGTGGTTGGAAGACAGTGGCTGAGTGGTTAAGGCGTCCAACATTCACCCACTAATTCTCATTTTTGAAACCCACTCCGGTTTAGGCAATAGGGTTGTGTCACTCATAGAATGTTACTTGGAGCCGAGTACATGAATTTATACCTGATAAATAAATGACTGGGGAATATATAAAACTGGATCCAAGGCAATTACTTAAAGATTATTAAGTATACAAATTTCCACGGAATTATATTGCCCCTGACAACTGACAATGCAAAAAAAGTATGGAATTATGGCGATTGTTTATTATATTCGTACAAGTGTTTTGTAAAGATTAGCTCACTTTGAATGTATTTTCTATTTAAGGAAATAGTGTTATCTAAATGGCAATTGGAAACTACAGATTAGTGGGCAGTTTTCTCGTCTCTAATGGATATTCATCACACTGGATTAAACCCATTGTCTTCATGTTGCACGGCGAACCCATTGGTTTGCAGTTTCAAGTTTATTAAATTCGTCACATAGCTTGAGAATCATCCACACCATTAGTAATAGTTGTCTTACTTTTGAGATAGCTCAAATTTATCCAAAATAAAATCCCGAATGATGGCTTAATAGTCTGAGGTACCGTACCGACCACAAGATCTCAAACCTTTAGGCTTAGGGACCGAAAGCTAAAACGAGACATTCACCTGCTGTAGTGTGGCTTACCGTTGTTTTCCAGTTGATATCATTTCACGATGCTATCTTAACATATTATGTACGTCAGCTTATTGAAGTTCAATTATTAAAAAAAGAAGCATGTATAAGATTATTAAAGTGAAAGCTCACTAGAGTCGAAACAAATGTGATAAGACATGTAAGTAATTCATAGTCATTTATGTTGCGAAATGAAAACATCACTTAGAATTTATTTGAGTCATTCAAAGATTAGTCAATACAAACTCGTTTATATAATTCAACAGTTAACCACATTTTAGTCATAGACATTATGAGGACTGATGCGAATACGTGTCAGTTGAAATTGTCACTCCTTAAATTATAACAGTGAGAGGAAACCAACAAGATGTACACGATAAGAGACAAAATAAGTGAATACCGGTAACGGTCGTTGTAGATGGAGTTTGTATTTCTGAATTAGGAACGATTTGGATCTAAGTGAACTAGATAGACAACGATTAGTACACAACACTTCGACGATAATCCTTCACACCACTATGGGAGTAAAAAACCTTATAGGAACGATGTATTGATTAATACTCCATGAGAATTAATTTATATTGGAGTTAATCTAATCATGTGTCGATTAATAATTGATCATTAATTGCAAGCCTGTCAAAGTGAGCAACACAAAGTCACAGTGGATTAATTAATACAGTGAGGACGTATTGAGAATAAAGTAACTTGGTGCGTGTAAATACATTGAAAGCCAACCAAATTCCATTCAAATCAGTGTGTGAATTTCAAAACTGATTTATTCTTAAACATAGTGCCTGGGGCTTTAGTATCCCCAACAATAATCGAACACCTTATATAATGCGAAAGAACGAGTAGAAAGCAACTGACAGTACTGACCTTAGAATCTAAGGGGATATATATATGATGAAAGCGTTCGTAAACTCATAATCCAGTGAATAATAAACTAGGTGTTAGTGCTCTTTTGAAGACTCAGTTGAAAATATTCAACTAGTGATTACCATTTGAACTAAAATGTATGAATTGCATCGAGCACTGCCAAACTATTTCGTGCTATCAGGATTTGCCGTACATCACTACTGATGAGCTTGTACAATTCCTTTGTATCTCAAAGGTAGAATACCGAATCTACTCAATAAATCGACGGCTTCAGGTTCAGACAAAACCGTCTAGTCAAACATCACTTAAATTTTCACCAAGTTGAATGCTTTCTTTATGTTAACACAATGACTCTAATATGTATTATATTAGTCACTTAAACAAAAAACTGTCATGGAAATAAGACCAGTGCAAACAGTACGAAAGTATTTTTAAGAAAATACTGGTTATAGAATTAGTTATTGGTATACCTGGAATATAAGTTGACTATTTATACGAAATATCTGTGATACATGCTGCTGATGAATAGTACTTGTTGAAATCACTAAATGTGAGTGACACTCGAATCTAACATTTACCTTCGTTACGTTGCTTACTGTTATACAGTAACTTCTGAGGGTAGCGTTTAATAATCTTATGGTGATTTTTCGACTTCCCATTTAGTGTCAATCTATGGATAAAATCTTCGATGGAATTAGTTCGCACGGATATAATATGATTAGATTTGAATATGAAGATTATTTGTAGTGGGTTTTGGGATTATTTTATGAGAGGAATTTCATTTGGGCAGGAAGTTACGTATTCGAACTACTGATTATTTTTTAAATAACGTTTCAGTCTTGAGTGCTGTTAGAGGTATGAGGGCAGTTATCATTTCCCGGTTGCCCACACCGTGGAAGTGTTCTTCTAAAGGTACCTGAAAAGTAAATTGGGTAAGAAGTGGTCTTAACGACCTGAGAGCGTGACCTCAGTGCCCAAAGTACAAATGCTTGAGGTCGGTCACACACGACCTTTTTGTGGGTAGTTTTTGTGTTAGTTCCGTACTTGTTGGAACCTTACCGCCGGAGACGGATATTCGTGAGGTAAGTCGAGGCGTGCATTTTTAGGGTCGATCTTTTCTAACCCCAACCCTCGTTGTGGGAAGGCAGCATCGCTGTTATGCTGGTTGTTTGAAGGAAACACCTTACTGCTGTCACACCTCCGTACAGTCAGCAGTACGACATTTAATAAATGGCTGATGCCTACTGGTTTGGCTAATATTAGACTGATATTGACTCATGGTAAAATATCTTTGAAATTTTAAACTCCACACCAGAAACCTGGATGAGTAATTATAAATTAATTACTTGCTTACTTACTTACTTACTTACTTACTGTTACTCCCAATGTAGTATAGGCTGTCGACCAGCATTCTCCAACTCACTCTGTCCTGGGCTTTCCTTTCTAGTTCTATACTGTAATTAGAATTTCAAGGAAGACCTATGACGTTTGTCAATGAATGGCTCTCCTGAAAAAACCCTGTTCGCTTATGTATATTATTCTAAATCACAATACGAAAATGTTTTAAATAATGAATTCAACTACGTATAATCGATTTAAGTAGTCTCATTGAAATAATAAACTTTTTATTTTATTTGAACACATAAATATTGGTACAAGGGAGCACCAGATAAATATGCACCTCACAAATCTCATTTGATTTGTGTGAGGGCTGTGATACTACCCAGGTGCCCAAACTGAAGCAGGTGTTTTCCCTAGGGGGACACACCCCGAGCCTATGACCTGAAGGTCTAACCCACAAGGCAGTGGAGCATCGCAAGGAGATGCAGTTCCATGGTAACCGGTCACCAATAACTGGTTCATTCGCTATTTGTTCCATCAGGATACTGGAGCCCATGCGCACCATTGATTTG